ATAGGGCCTTCAGGTTGCGGTGACGCGACCTGGGGGCCCTATTCCAACCTCGGGTCCCGTGAGGGGCCCGTGTGTAGGCTTTCAGCATGTAACAGGTATTGAGGAGTTCTGGACGATAGTTCAGTGAAGCTTCGCTTCTGGAAATGATTGACCCACCTGAGCAGCAGAGCTCAGGCCATTAACGATTGAAAAAAAATATATATAATTATTATTATTATATATATGCTTGGAGAGTTTTCCTTCTTCCAGCTCCTGATTGTCCCTTCCCTACGACGGCCCACCAATCCGTTCGCTATTGGATGACCACGGCTCGGTGTGTAATGATAGGTTCGTCAGGAGAGTGTGTTGCGAGTCATGATGATCATAAAGAAGAGGTGTCGATGAAAGGAGGATGTGACGTGTGATTTGCTGGTGGCAATGGGGAAGAGGATATTAAAATTCTGTCTGAGAATTGAAGTGTCATCAGATTCAGCGCTGTTCACCACAGTCTGTGCTCACTTGCCTAGGTCTGTGTTTCTCTCTCTTCAGGCTACTGATGCTGAGGGCAGCAAATTCGCGCCTTGGAAGAAGCGGTGGTGCCAAATTGCCTGCTGCGGACCACCGTCGCTAGCAGAGGACCGTCTCCATACACATCAATCAACAAAATGGTAGGTGCCGAGGGGGACAGGGCTGTTGGGGCAGAGAGAGAGAGAGAGAGAGAGAGAGAGAGAGAGAGAGAGAGAGAGAGAGAGAGAGAGAGAGAGAGAGAGAGAGATGGGGAAGACCAGGCCAAGCAGAGAGAAATTGGGCAGAACAGAAGTGAAAGCAACCAGAAATCCGGGCAAGAGTGACAGTGCATGGCACATTGCTGATGTGCACAATGCATGGAGGAAGTAGCGACCTTGTGCCTATCGCTGGTGATTCTCATGGTCCTCAGCACCCTTTCCAGGCTTGTGGCCACTTCTTGCTTTGATCTGCCCTGCACCTGCAGCAACTGTCCTTCCGGTTCTGAAGTGCAACAGAGGGGAACAATATTTCAGTCCTCATTAAGGCGTAGCACACTTTCAAATTTCAATTCAATTTCATCCACTCTCAACCACAGTTCTGAAGAATCTGAAGGTTTCCAGTACACAGTGTAACACCCGCCTTTTTCTTTTTCTTTGTCTTTCCCTTTTCCTTTTTTGGAATTTCTCATTTTTAGGCTAGGTAGGAACTGGTGTAAACTAAAAAGAATGGGAGGAAAAAAAAAAAAGGGAGGATAGGAGCTCCCGGTCCGTGCAGTAGTTCTGGTCAGCTTAGTATGTGATCCATGCTCAATTGGGCCACACAACTATTAAACACACACACACACACACACACACACACACACACACACACACACACACACACACACAGTGTTGTGTAACGGATGCCCGACTAAACATGCCAATGGTGGCAGAGTTATATGAGCTGGAAAAAAAAAAAAAAAGTTCATATGAGCTAGCAAAGAGCATGCATATTACTACTAGGAAGATTTTCATGACCGGCCGGTCACCTGGGCGTGACGCCCTGGGGGGTCTGACGCCCAGGATACCCGGGCCTGGGGGAAAAAAATAAATTTAAAAAAAATAAAAAAATTGGCAGTGGGGGTTTTCCACGCTCTCCGAGAGGAGCCCAAATCCGGGCTCTTTTCTTTTTTTGAGTGTTGGCTGTCAAGGAGGGGGAAGGGGGGAATAAATGAATTTTAAAGGGGCTAAAGGGGTTTAAAGGGGGGTGCCTTAGTGTGATTTGGTTATTTTCATGGCTACACCGGACCCGAACCCGGACATTTCCAGACATGGAACCGGACCCGTGTCCGGAAGTTTCCAGACATTTTCGGACCTCCGAACATGGGGGGATCCGGACGGTCCGGAAGTCTGGACAGGTCCGGAAATGTCCGGACCATTAAAAAAAATAAAAAAAATAAAAATCTGAAAAGAAAGTATGTTATGCAGAATAACAATGCAAACCACTTTTGCCACAGAGTCATGCAAGAATTCCTAACCAAACTTGAGTTAAAAGTCAAAAAGTTACAAAAACTATAAAAAGCTTAAAAAAAGACTTTAAAAACTAATAAATAAAAGGTAATGAATGATTAATAATTAACAAATTGGGGTTGTCTAATAAATTATTATAGAGAGAGAGCATGTCCAGACCCCCCAAAAATGCATACATAGGCCTGAAAACCCCCCATGGCTCCTCAATGGGGAAGGGTTCTGGACCATTTTTTTTCGTTTTTTTTCCCCTCAAAATTTGGCAGATCCGGACCTTCCAGACTGGACGTCTGGAGTCCGGACTGAATGCAGACCGTCTGGACGGCGGTCCGGACGTCCGGATCGTAGCCATGGTTATTTTCTTTTTTCTCTTCGGTTCCGTGAGGAATTCTGATGTGACCTTCAGCCAAAAGTTAATTGTACTGCAATTCTACACAACATTTTTTTTTTTTCAGATTTTTCTTGGATTTTTTTTTTTTTTTGTGCGCTGGAGCTGCCCGGGCCCATGCCCGGCTGCCAAACCGGGCGTGATGTCAGGACCCGGGCACCCGGGATATCTCCCTGGTATTAATATTATGCAATGATCTTTTTCAGATCGATTTGTCTTAAATTCTCTTAATGTAAGTTAAACCACCACTACCTTTCTCAGAGCCGGGAAAAATGGGAATTTGGCCTACTCCGAATTTATAGCAGGTCCCGTGGAGGGTCGGCCAACCGAGCCCCATACGGGCCCGCTCTTCCATTATGTGAGGAACAAGCCCTCAAGGGCCCCTATCGGACATCACATTGTTCTGGGCTAAGGCCCCCAGCAAGCCAAGTGCCCGCCCTAAGTGAAGCCGGGCCTGAATATTCGTCAAAGGCAAAATTCGACATTTCCATATGTGGGTATTCAGGCTCTCGGGTGCACGCCAGTTGGTTGTGAAGACGCCTGAGCCTCACATTGCAGCGTCCTACAGTTGGCCCAGGCCTTGACAGTTGCGCCTGGGCACACGTACACAAAGCAGGGTTGATACATCGGGAAGCAGGCCTTCGGCCTTTGCAAAAGCAGTAATGCCAACGCACCCGCCTGGGAGCCCTGCACAGATGCAGCAGACAGCCCACGTCCGGAGACTCAGGCCGTGCCTAACTGCAAAGGAGCCCAGGCCCTCAACTGTAGTCTCGGGCCTGGGCGCAGGGTCTGGGGCCCAACCGGAAGCTACTGGAAGCTTCCAGCCAGGCCACACGCATCATCCAGGAGGCTGCCACTTCCACAAAAGGAAGGAGGCAGCCCAGGCCAGGCATTCTGGCCAGTGCGGGCAATGCGGAAGTGCTGCTGCACTCTCGCTTGATGCTGCGCTGCTGCCAAGGGCGCTGATGGGGCGCGTAGAGGTGAAGTGGGGCACTACGGGGCAGCAGGGCGCAGGCGGCCATAGCCGGGCTGCAAGGCGCCAGGGGGTAATGCGGGCGATTGAGTGGTCTTCAGGGAAGGAGGCGAGTGTGGGGTAATAAAGGTCTGATTGAGGGTGATACGTACCTGGTACATGAAGAGAGGTCGGCGATAGTGTTGGCAGTCATGTACATGGGTCTTCATGAGTCGAAGTGATCCTGTCGCGTGAACCAGCTGTAGGTAGGATAGTCTGGTAGAGTAGGTTGGGCGCTGAGCGCCAGACAGAGCAGAGTGACTTGGATAATGTGTTGCTGTGGCCTACGGGCTTGAACATTGGCTCATTGAGGGTGACGAGATACATACCTGGTACATGAAGAGAGGTCGGCGATGGTGTTGGCAGTCATGTACATGGGTCTTCATGAGTCGAAGTGATCCTGTCACGTGAACCAGCTGTACGTAGGATAGTCTGGTAGAGTAGGCTGGGCGCTGAGCGCCAGACAGAGCAGAGCGGCTTTGGATACTGTGTTGGTGTGGCCTACAGGCTTGAACATTGGCTCATTACTTCATTGTATTGCTCTATATGGATGGTTTACTCGGTGCATTTGTACTCTCTGCTTGGGACACGACTACTGGGACAGCTGTGTGATTTCGCAATTTGGTTTTATGATATATCGTTCACACTCATATTCCTTGCAATTAGGGGGAAAAAAGAAAAAGAATGAAATGGATCGAGATCAACAATGTCGGGTAATGGCATCACCGAGGCCATACTCACACTGGTACTTCCAGAATGTATATGACCTCTTTACCGGCAAAACCTTTTTTTTTTTTTTTTCTTTTTTTTTTTGCACCAATATAACACCAATGGAGATTCGTAACACTCGAAACCAATGTCAATGAGAGCTTGCTCTCACCACCACCAACATAAGAGTCCAGTCCCTTCTCCCTACTTGGCGCTCGGCGCCCAGCCTACTTCCTACACAGCTACTGTCTGCCTACTAATTGACAATGCAACCGTTGACATCAGCAGCCAACGAAGTACTTGAAGATGTCGCCCAATGCAGACCATCGCCAATACCAGGTATGTGCCCTCACATCATCATCATCATCATCGTTCTCTCTCTCCCCTGACTTACACCCACGTCTTCCCTCTGAACACCCGAAGACCACCCCTGCGCCTCACTGTGGTCCAAGCCCCAGCCAGCTATGAAGGCTGTGCTATGGCGCTACCCTCAGCAGCGCCCTGCTTCCTGCACAACCACACGCGCACAGCACCTTGCCCTCAGCGCTCAGCAGCCCGCGAGCAATTGCTCCAGTAGTGCTGCCGCATCATCTGGCAAGTGCCTGAATGAGAGCCCAGGCAGCGAGCTCTTTCCTATATGGAAAGAGCCTGCCTGCTCCGGCGGCTGGCAAAACCTTTGCTTGTTTTTTTTGTTCTACTTTTATTTCTTTTGTTTGTGCCCTGCCAGCGAGGCAGGGCGTGATCCACTTTCTGACAGGGATGGCCGTGTACGGAGGACATACACTCACACTGGTACTTCCCACAATTTTTGTCATCGCTATCACGGCCAAAGCTGCATTTCTTTTTCTTTTCCACCTTTTTTTTCACAAGTACCAAAAAAGAAAATGAAACGGAACCAACCCCAATGCCAGGTGTGGCAAAAATCGGCGTGCAGAGAAATTCAGGGTCGGCAAAAAGAGGACCAGAGGTAGTGGTGGTTTAAGGAAGTATATATTATAGTGTAATGAACCCAGACTGACAGATACTCGTCAGACGTCAAGCACAAGTAGTCTCAGATCTGCACAAAGTCTCCAGTTAACATGAAGTGCCTGAAACAGTATCTCATTACCATTAGACGAAGAGAGTGGAGGGGGAATAGACAGAGGAGAAGGTGGAAGAGATAAACAATGATCACCCAAGAGTAATGCAATCAAATCCCACTTCTTCTCCGGGGTTCCTCTCTCCTCCACGTCATCAACCAGTACACGATACCAAGTATGATAAGTCCTGATCACACAGAAGTGCCATGTGGCACTCTTATCTCGTGAAGACCATGAAGACAACAGCAGATTACAGTAACGACGTCGACCTCAGGTGAGAACCCGATCCCAATCATTCACAGATCCTGATCTCCCTCCTTGTCACAACCAGTCACCTCATGTAGACAGCGTGGCCAATGCCACGTCAGATGTAGAGACAGGTGGCATGCGCCACATCATCAATGAAGACAGGTGGCAGCGCCACATCAGCAACACAATGTAGGCGGGTGGCAGCACCACATCAGCAATGTAGACCAGTGGCATGTGCCACATCAGCAATGCAGACAAGTGGCATGCACCACATCAGCAGGATAGACAGGTAGCAGTGCCACGTCAGCAATACCTGGCGCACAAAGCAGAAAGCGCCAGCATGCTGACACAGTCCCGAGTCGTCGTCCACAGTGCCTGCGCACAGCCAGCGTCTCGCCAGTGTGTCGCCAGCGTCGTGCCAGCGTCAATGCCAGCGTCCAAGCAGCATAGCAAGACTGAATGCTGACCACCTCGAGTCCTGTCCTTTTGTAGTGTTTGTCGAGACTGTCTGGCCTCCGGTCCCCTCCCCATAGTCGTACAGATTGACTCTCAGCCGAGGG